GAGGAAGTGGTCGATGAGGGCGAGGCTGCACTCCGTTCATGGCAGCAGCAGCGCGCCCTCCCCGCAGACCACCCGCTTATCCTTGACACTGGTGACGACGCTCCCTCCTTGTTGTCTGTTCCACCACCACGCCAACACGGTGTCTCCATGGTGGAGGTTGACGATGAGGAGGATCTCCGCCTACGTCAAGAACTTCGGCAGCGACTAATCGACACCGCACTTCCTATGATGCACGTTGAACCGGACGTTCCCACCCCCGCCCCACGTTTGTTGGCCACCGTACAGCTAGACAACAACTACGCGAACGAGGATGAGCCGGTGGTTGAACACGTCATCCCGATCTCGGTAGACTGGGTGCTCCGCGGCTTGGAGCTCGCGCGCGTGGTGCCGGACATTGAGCATTGTACCTTCGAACCAGGCGATGTGCTCATGTACACAACCGAGTACACTGAGGACATGGAGGAAGAAGAGGATCACGCCGTCAATGTTCGCGCCGCCTTCACCCACTCTCAGGAACTCGCGGAGAAACATGCAGCCGGAACCTCAGCTAAGTCTATTGAAGAACTCGTCCCGGAACAATACCGACGCTACTTGAAGGTGTTTGACAAGATCTCGTCGGAGCGCCTTCCCGACCACGGCCCATTCGACCACGCCATCGACCTGAAACCGGAGTTTGAGGAGCGTCTGCAGACCCATCCACTCAACTGCAAGGTTTACCCAATGTCGGCAAACGAGCAGACGGCACTTGACACCCTTCTGAAGGACGGTCGGGAACGTGGCATTCTGCGCCCGTCCAAGTCACCCATGGCGAGTCCATTCTTCTTCGTGAAAAAGAAAGACGGTACTCTTCGACCCGTTCAGGACTATCGTATCCTCAACACAGGCACGGTCAAGAACACCTACCCGCTACCGCTCATCAGCGACATCGTGGATCGGCTCACGGGTGCCAAGATCTTCTCCAAGATGGACGTGCGCTGGGGCTATAACAACATCCGTATCAAGGAGGGCGACGAATGGAAGGCGGCGTTCAAGACAAACCGTGGACTATTTGAGCCTTTGGTGATGTTCTTTGGCTTGACCAATTCGCCGGCCACGTTCCAGACCATGATGAACGAGATCTTTAGGGACATGATCGATGAAGGCGTCATTAGTATCTATATGGACGACATCTTGGTTCATACAAAGGAACTGACACACCATCGGGACACCGTCAATCGAGTTCTACAACGGCTCCAAGATCACGACCTTTACCTCAAGCCCGAGAAGTGTCAGTTCGAGCGTGACAGTGTCGAGTTCCTGGGATTGGTGGTGTCGCACAACCAGATGTCGATGGACCCCGTTAAGGTGGCTGGCGTCATGGGATGGCCTACTCCCCGCAACATCAAGGAAATTCAATCCTTCATCGGCTTCACCAACTTCTACCGTCACTTCATCGCCGACTTCTCGTCTATCGCACGTCCACTCTTCGACCTTACGAAGAAGATGGTGCCTTGAAATTGGGGTCCCGAGCAGGAAGAAGCGTTCAATCGCATGAAGCAGGCCTTTACGTCCTCCCCGGTCCTCCTGATGCCTTGCGCTGACCAGCCATTTCGAGTAGAGTGCAACGCTTCCGACTTTGCCATAGGCGCCGTCCTATCCCAGGTTGGGGACGATGGAGACTGGCACCCGGTGGCTTACCTCTCGCATGCGCTATCACCTCCCGAGCGGAACTACGATACCCACGATAAGGAGCTCCTTGCGATCATCCCTGCCGTAGAGGATTGGCATCACTACCTTGAAGGTTCCCCACATCAGGTCGAGATCTACACGGACCACAAGAACCTCGAGCACTTCACCAAGATGCAGAAGTTGAACCGACGTCAGGCCAGATGGGCCTTGTACCTTACGCGCTTCGACTTCATTCTACGCCATCGACCTGGACGCCTCAACCACGCGGATCCCTTGCCACAACGTGCCGACCACCGTGAAGGCGTTGGGGAGGAAAACTCCAACAGGGTCCTGTTCCTTGCAGCCGATCTTGCCATCAATGCTACACAGTTCGTGTCCCTGGACGATGTGAAGCAGCGCATTTTGGAGACGGAGGCGAAGGACAAAGAGGTGGCGGAGGCGATGCGGATCATAGAGCAGGAAGGTCCAGCGGCGCTCAAACGGAAGCTGGATGGCTGGGAAGAGAAGGACGGCCTCATCACGTACAAAGGACGTCTATATATCCCGGACGACAAGGATCTCCGTCGGGAGATTGTTCGTCTCTGCCATGACACACCAGCCGCTGGGCATCCGGGTCGGTTTAGGACAATTGAGCTGGTATCGAGGGACTTCTGGTGGCCGGGTATGTCCTCCTTCATCTGTGAATACATCAGAGGCTGTGCCACTTGTCAGTCTATCAAGATCCGCAACAACC